CTAAACTTTGTGGTACTCGTATTTCTAGCCAAGATTGAATCTTGTGATTCTACTGTTGAATCCTCTAGTTATTGGCTCCAACAGCTGCAACACCTTGTTCCAGTGCAACATCTCTCTACAATGTCATCGGAATATGTTATTACCAGAGCCACAAAAGGATTATACATTACACTCATGACAGCTACAATTGTCCTCAATCAACTTCAGTAGCTTAGATAAACCAGACTACAGTCCAAAACAAGAATGCACCAACCATGAGATCTCATTTAAACGTAGAGATTTAATCTTGGCATTGGTTGATTTCCCTTCATTACATCGAGAACAGAAATCCAACCAATAAAAGATGTAGTCGGATCTAGCATAATAGCTCCACTCGGGGAAGTGTATCTCTGAACTCTTTTAACTTGACCACGAGGAATGCCAAAGTAGTACTTATCAAAATCACCATTAAATTTCTCAAAGAAGCTTTCCTGCAAACAAAGGCCTCTTTTAAGCTCACAAAGGTAGCCCAAACATGTCAATGCTTGTATATCAGTCAACAGCTCCACATGTCTGACTCTTTTGAGTTTGAATCATTCGCCAGATTTGACCTTTGAATGTATAAACACACATGAGAAGCAGAATTCGTAATCATACTATTTAGCAATCAAAAGGAGTGGACATCCAAAAAGAAGTATGGACTTTTAGTCAGTTAATTTACGATCTTGTTGATTCTTGAAAGAAGTCCAAATCAGAATACTAAGTATATGGATCAAGTAGAAACAACACAAAAGTAAACACAAATCATGCTTGAAAACTAACAAACTATAAGGGTAATATTAATGGATATGAACTCTTTATATTCAGTGACCTTACAGTCGATTCCAAAAGCAACTACTGATTAATGAATATTTTTCTCTGTATCGTTCCAATTTTGTAGGATGTCCCTGAAGGGACAAGTAAGAATATTTGAAGAACAGTGAAACCACTTTAATGCTCATATAGCAATTACTTTATGCAGCTGTTTGAGACAAACATCCCCTAAACTAAGTCTTGAAAGTTCTCCAGGGTGTACCTCACATAGGAAGTTGTACACAATACAGATTTCATTTCTAGTGAAAAGGATATCTAGCTTCAATGTTAAACATCTTTTATCCTAGAGCCATCAAGAATAAAGCCAATTTCACCCAATGCTTCTCCAGCTTCGAGCCGCTTAAAAGCATATCTATTATCGGTTCATCTGAAATCAATTTCCTTGTTTAACTTCTTCAAGCTGCAAATCTAGAACAATACGGCATGCATCACATGATCATTTTTGCCTATCGCATGAATATACGGAAGGTAGTAAGCCTATAAATAGAAAGACACCCCAACTTCTCCAACAATGATCAACTATTAGAACGACTGAATCTTCATTATAGTACCAAACACTAAATATATGTGCTATCTATTAATGATAATGAAGTAACATCAACTGTCTAACAGAAAAGAAAATGATAAAGAAGCTCAATCAATCATAGCAGTGCACGAACATAGGCAATGGTAAACCATTTTTATTACCATTGAAGAAGAAGAAGAAAATCAGCATTTTATAGATTCTTTTCCCAAAGATACTTGTGCAAGGTGGACGAAAGTTTGCTAAATAACCAAGGAAGAGACAATTCATATCCAAATAACCTTGGTGGCATTTGCTAAGAAAACATTATGCATAATCTACTATATCAATAATTCATGCAACAGTAAGAAATCGACCTAAATTTTATGGTAAAGGTTGTAAAATCAGACATAATCACAATAAAGCAAATGAATTTCTGAATATATTATGGTTCTGCAACTCACCTTGACAATTTCGACAAGCACAACTTGGAAGTGTTGTCGTCGTAGATTCACCGGAAGACTCATCCTCAACTCCCGCAACAAGGAGATGATATGGACAATTTCGTTCTCTACTTCATACTCTCGATTAACTCTTTTGAGAAGTATTCACGATCTCACTATATTACACAAACCGGAATTGACCACTTCGAATTTCACTTAGGTTCTGATGTTCGTCTATTCTTATCTTTTTCGTATTTAAACATATCAAGGAAAACAGAAGCAATTAGGGGTTAACTATTGTTTTCTAAGGGAAACTGTTGAGGCAAAGGGTTAAGACAAAGTACACAGGTTGAGGCAAGGTTAAGACAAACAAAGCAGAAGATCCATACCTCCTCATTAGTTCTATCTGAACATCGAAGGCAATCCATTAGCTTCAATAATCGGTCACTTCTTGCAAACTCACCTTGACGACATTTTATGAGAGCTGTGACTTATGAAACATAGGCTCCAAACCTGAAAACTTCAATAATTTGCATAGGCTCTCAGCATTTAACTGTTACAGTATGTATAGACATTAGAAAACTTTCTGGAAAAAAAAAAGAATTTAAGCAAAAATATAATGGCATAGCGAATCATCATTACAACCAAAAATTGCAATCTATATAAAATATGAAAATATGAATCTGGATAATTTATCTAGAAAGGCATAGTGCTGCAAGTCAGCCAATCTATATTTGTAGACATATTAAGCATACCTAAAGCCTCTCAGTTTAAACCGATGTGAAACTTAACAAATTATTCCTCTTCCAACATCCATTACAAAAAGAAGAAACAATGGACCCTTCCACACTCTCACTCCAAGAAATTATATAACCTTCTTAAACAACTGCTTAATCACAACAGACCAACACCCATTAATATTCTTTCCTACTGATGGGAACGAAGCGCTTGTTAAATATTAGTGGGGAGAGCTGGAGAGGAATTGGGAATGACAGGGGGGCTGAGGAATTTTGATTGCGCGTGGTATTTAACTTCTACATCGGATTGTAATTTGACTGAGAAAAGGAAGGAAAATTTCTCGCGGCTTATATTACCAGGGAAGAAGAAAAAGACCAAAAGAAGGGGGTCAACTTTAAAGCGGCGTCGTTTTGGCGAATGGGGAGGGGGTTCGCAAAAAAAAAAATAATAAATAAATAAAATAAAAACGGAACTAATTTAAAGTTACTGTATTGCCCCTAATTAAAAAGATGATGTAAATCTTATGTCACGTAACTACTGTCTGACCAAGCAGATTGCAAGAAATTAATTGACCAAGTGTGACTTTTATATAGCTTATTATAGATAGATATATCATTAAACCCTTATCGTCTATATGGCTAAGAGTGGCCATTTTCCACTTCTTCTTCCTCTATGTTAGTATGGAGAACCTAATGGTTCATTTTTGTATAAATTGAAATGTCAAATTGCTCTAGTGAATCAAGACAAAATGAGTACTGTCGAGTATGTGTTACAAAAGAAAAATAATGCTCTTTATTCATCGTACTTGCAGAAGAGTTTTCATAAAATACAGTAGTGATAATGCTCTTTATTCATCGTACCAAAAGAAAAATCACTTCCATTTAGCGTACGGTAAAGCACTCGACCAAAACTTCCTCCAAACAAGTCCACTATATGGTACCAAAACCATACTAATATCTTTTTCCTTTTTCTTTTTTTGGAAAAAGTCAATTTCATTAAAAGATGCGAATGTGTTACAAATACATCAATTCGACTATGATAAATTATCATTCCAAGATATCTTCCAAATATGACTAACTACACTAGTTTGGGGTGACTCTTTAACATTCATAGTACATAGCTTATCTCTCACCATATTTATGATACATCGAGCTTAGACTTCCGATGAGTTCATTTTATTCTGAAACTTATGACTATTCCTCTCTTGCCACAAATCCAGGTAAGTAGCTTCCAGATTCATTAATTAACTTTTTGGGATTTCTGTAAGAGAGGGAAAACCAATGGGATATTGTGACTTTGTGCGCAATATTTTACATGATCCAGACCTGATTTTGACTTGTGAGCAATACTTAAAGATTCAAGTGATCAGAATCTAGATAGAGAATGCACAGAACTTCACGATACATGATTTGAGGGGAAGTTAAAATCCGAAATACCTTATAGATGTCGCAAGTATCAACATTTGATGAACCTGAAATATATAACAAAAAAAAATTGTATATTCTACTTGCGAGACCATGTTTGAGAATCAGAAATCATTGAAAGGAAGACAGAATGCTAAAATATCTTTACTGAACTTTGACAAAAAGTCAAGAAGAATTTAGATTTGAGAAGCACAAACGACACTAATTTTAAATATTTAATTACAAACGGAAATTGTGTAGTGAAACCGTAATGTTATCGCATTCAACACGTAACAAAATCAAATAGTTCTTGTTTTAGTTTAAAGTTACTGTTCAGAATCGGAATAGGGCATAATACAATATGGATTATGATGAAACTAAAACATAAATGCTTTCGCTTATCATGAATGATTGGTGATTATGGAAGAATTACAAAATATTTTGAAGTGTCATCAACACGTCATATAATGTATATGGATTGGGATGAAATACAGCTCTTATAACAGTAACGATACACAACTCATTATTCTTATCGTTAACCACAAAATACCATTTTTGCATATCAAGCTTAGACAATATTACTTTGCGAGCATGACTTCATTTCAAAGGTTCAATCCAAATTCAACGAAGGAAATTATAGTTTGGTTGTTTTCAAATGGGAAGTGAAAAATATCGGTTCATAGTCCTAAAATAGAATATATCAGTAGACATAAGTAAATTTGATAATATTCGTGTGAATCAATGTATTTTTTAAGGATGTGCGACGTTGATTTTAGATTTAATATTAAAAAATTTAATGATTTTTGAAGTGATAAATTTTTCCTCTCTTTAGGATAAAAGACAATTCTGTTAATAATTGCTGGAATCTTTGTCCATTTTTGAAGGTCGATATAATCATTGTCTGGAAATGAAGTTCTTTGCCACTATATATATACTCTGAAGATATTTATTCAATAGACTAATTAATGAGTTGGGTCGCATTTAAAATTTTTAACGTTGGTGTTTTGAATATATGTATAGATTGTTCACCCAGCTCATTTATGTTTCAAGCTACCTGAAAACATGAGTTTGGAGGAAGGGGTGATATGCGAGCCCTTGAGTGTTGGTGTTTACGCTTGTCGCTGTCCCAAAATTGGCCCTGGAACAAATGTTTTAGTCAAGGGGGCAGGTCCGATTGGGTTGGTTGCACTTTTGGCTGCTAAAGCATTTGGTGCGCGAAGAGTAATTGTTGCCGATGTTCATGATTACTGCCTTTCAGTTGCAAAGGAGCTTGGTGCATTTGCCACCATAAAAGTCTCAACCAACATTGAGGTTTGTATTTTATTTTATTTTTTTAATCTTTCACGTTTTTATGGTTTTAGTTATAACAATGTAACCATTTAAATTTTCGTTCTTTTCCCTATTAGGATGTTGAGAAAGAAGTGGAAACAATTCAAAAGTCAAGAAGTGAAAAATCAAAGTAATCAGAGCTATTGAAGGAGCATGAAGTTTAAAAGAGCCACTATTTGCTGCCAAGAAAAAAAAAAAAAGGAATTGTTATAAAAGCCACAAAACCAAAGTGGAAACCAAAGCCATTGACATATTTGGTTGTTCTAAACCCTACAGTTGGAAAGTTTACAAACGAATTAATTGATAGATTTTTTGGTTTGATGGATAAGGAGAAGGTAGCCATTCCGGTCGACATGCAGAATTCTTCAAATGAAAATGTGGACAAGCTTAACTGGCTGCAAATATCAAAGAAGCTGGAAAAAGAGAAGGAGAAGAACAATCCAGTTACTACTCACACGCAGCAGATTGTTTCCTCTTTAGTAGGAGAACAATCTAATCGTTTTCTTTTTTATTCTAGAATGGTGACCTAAACGGAGAATGAGTTGGGTGAAGAGGACGGAGATGTTGAAGAAATTTTTGTTAAAATTGTCCAAGAAGATCAATCGGCTTCCCAAAGCAGAATCGATGATGACATCCAGCGAGCTTTAGAGCAAATACAAAACATTGATGAGATGCAAATTGGTAAGTTTCCTTATGATGAAAACATTGGTCGACGAAGCTCAATAGAAGAGGACAAAAATAATGAAGAATGCAAATGGTCGGAAGGTGCAAAAGACAATGCATAGTTACACGAATCGCCAAGGGGTGATTTCAGTATCAAGGAAACATGGTTGAAAGTCGAAGGCCGAGAGAGCAAAAATGCGTGAAGGGCTGGAGCATGAACACTCATCTCGATTGCAATGAGTTATCTTTAATTTTAATAAATTCCATGATTAGATAAAGTTTATGAAATATAAGAGGGTAAAAAATCAAACGTCTCAACGTCGCTTGAAGACTTTAATAAGAACGCATCGTGTCATTTTTCTAATTATTCTTGAGTCAATGCTACAGAGGCATAAAATAGAGGCTATAAGGAAGGAATTGAAGTTTGATGGAACCTTGGCCTCAAGTACAAGCAAGATTTGGGTATTTTGGAAAAATGAATTCACAATTTCCTTGTTAGAAGATACGAAACAAGCAATGCACTTTGAAGTTTCGCATTGTCGTTTCCTTGAAGTGTTCATCTTGTCTGCGATTTATGCAAAATCAACCAAAGTTGATCAAAGGGATCTTTAGAGGAATCTGATTAGCTTTCGACAGCAGCACTTGAGCTCTCTTGATGAAGTTAAGGAGGATTTTTTTTAAAAAAAAACCTGAGTGAGGATAATGCCCCCGAGGTAGATTGCTTTGGAGACATTTTTTACAAAAGTTGTTGGCGTATGATATCTACTGATCTTTAGAAAGCTTGCCAAGAATTTATGCTATGAGTGCCTACTCCGAGATCAATAGCCAGCACTTTGATAACTCTCATTCCCAAGAAATCTTCCGTTACCTCTTTTTCTTACTTTAAGCCTATAAACTTATGTAATTTTTTGAATAAAATATTTACAGAAACTCCAGAAAGGATAAAGCTAGTCTTGCATAAGCTGATATCGAAGGAGCAATCAACTTTTTTTGGCATGGCGAGATATAACAGATAATGTTATTCTGGCTCAAGGTTTGTGCTCGTTTTTGAACCGCAAGGCTGTTAGAGATAATGTGGTGTTCAAAGTTGATATGTTGAAAGTCTTTGATAGGATGGCGTGGAGTTTTCATGAAAAGGTACTTCTACAATTTGGCTTTCCTACACACTTTGTTTTTTTTTTATTTCAAATAATTTTAGAAATAGTTGGTTCTCAGTGATGATAAATGGGAGGCTAGTGGGGTGTTTTCCGAGCCTAAAGAGGTATTAAACAAGGCGATCCCCGTTCAACATACCTATTCAGTTTGGTTTCAGAATCGATGACGAGAAAGCTTAAGGCCCTAGTTGATTCCGAGAAAGTTGCAAATTATGGTACACCTACTGGATCTTTGGTGGTGTCTCATTTTTTATTTGTAGATGATTTGATTATTTTTTCCAGAGGTTTGCAAAGAATGTTATTGGTGCTGAATTCTTTTGCTTAGTGTTATGAGAGTGCTTCTGGTCAAAAAATTAATCAGCAAAAGAGTTTTTCATTCTAGCTGAAAGGTGTAGTCCAAGTCATGTAAAAAGAATTAAGTTGATTTTTGGCATGCCAAAAAGGGACATTCCCCCTTTTTTTTTTTTTTATCTTGGCTACATGTTAGTTTATGGTAGGAAGAAAGCTTCTTACATTCAATTCCTTCCGGATGCCCTAGATGCGAAGCTAATGAGTTGGAAGAATAAGATGTTGAGTCTAGGTGGACGACATTGTTTATCAAGCATGTATTGGCATCCATTTCGTTTCATGTTTTTTCAGCCATAAACCCTCCAAAGTTGATTTGGAATGAGATGGAGAAGAGCTATCAAAAATTTCTTTGGTGCGGTTCAGGGGAGTAAAAAAGCAGGCATTGGCATGCATGGAATAGATTTAACTTTTCATGTTGCTGAAAACGGTCTTGGTTTGAAAAGGTTCCGAGATTTGATTGATGCACTATTAGTCAAGCTTTAGTGGAAGGTGAAGCATTAAACTTGAATATGGAGTAAATTCTTATTAACCTTGTTAACTCCGGCAAAACAAAAATTTTCATGGACAAGGATCTTGAGAATTGCTCCAAGGGCAGGCACGCAAAGGTGATATTGAGGGTTGGAGATAGATCCTATTGGTATGACTGTTGGTCGCCTCTCGGCTTGCTTTGTGATATATCTGATGAGCAGCCACCTTTTTCAGAAATAACCATAAATGAATTTTATGATGGGAAACCATTTTACTTGTTCGAACTACAACAAGTACTCAATGGAAGTGTCCTAGGGTTTCTAGCTCGAACGAAAATGGCCTTCACTATTGAAGATGATATCCTCCCTTAGCAGCAAATCTCACAAGGAGTCTTTACAGTTAAATAGGCTTATGAAGCTCTTGGAAGAAGGAAAGAAGAGGAGGTGTTGATGAAGAACGTATGGCATAAGTTGATATTATTAAGAATTATTTTCTTTACGTTGAAATTGCGCAATAGCTTACTCCCTTGAGGTTCTTTGTGCCTTTGGTATTCAACTTAATCCATCTATTTGCTTTTAATGTTGCAAGAAGAGTAACAATTTGCTACATTTCTTTGAATAGAGTGATTTTACAAGGCAAATATGGAGTCATTTTGATACTATATTTTATATAGATTTGACTGATGTCTCCACTTTTTTGGGTCTTTTAAGAAAATGGTGGAATAACTTTAGCTTTACCACAGCTCGAAACTCCATCATAATGTTAATCCCTTCTATTGTGATTTGGGAAGTTTGGAAGCTGAGGAACAAGGTGTTGTTCAACGGCATTAATTTTGACATATATATATATATATATATATATATACTATGTGATTAACATTATTAAAGCTCGTATAAGAGATTTGATGAATGTGCATGATCTCAAAGTTCAAAATGATGCTGAGGGAACTTTTCTTCGTGGAGCTTTTGGTATTCAGCTATCCAAAGTTGTTTAGAGAAGGTGTTTTAAGGTGAGATGGGATCCACATAAGCCCTAATTTATTTACTGTAAACTTTGATGGATTGTCTGTGAATAATGATGCCGGCTATGGTTTCGTTATTGGAGGGGATGGAGGTTGCTTCTGATATGGAGAAAGTGGATTTTTGGGCTGTGGGGATAGTTCTTTAGCTAAAATATATGGAATTTTGTTTGATTGGTGAATATGTGAGCTAATGAATTTAATTAATGTCTTACTACAGACCGACAATAAGATGCTTGCAGACACTCTGAGTAAGCAAGGTAGCTATCAATGGAAGTACTATTTGCAACTGTTGGAGATGAGCTTGATTATACAGAGAAATAGCTTTTCTATAACTCATATCCACAGAGAGGCTAATGCGGTAGCTGATGGATTGGCAGAGGAGACATCTCTGGGTTCTTCAAACACTTATCTTTGTTTTCCAAGTTCTCAGAAGATTGGTAGAGGATAAGTTTTATGCACTGCCCCTGTAATCTGTGATTTTTCTATAACAATAATATCGGGGGTAATGTCTGCCTGGTACCGCCCTAGTTAAACTAAAGAAATATATATATATATACATACATATATATAGATACACACACACACACACACACACACACACACACACACACACACATATATATATATATATACAAATTTCTCTATCCAAGAAAAAAAGGCCAAAACTTTATTTTGTTGAGTTTTTGTAATAAACTATCCCATCATGGTATCCTACTAAGCGTAGTTGAACCCTCTAGTCAAATGTTTGGTAGTCCTCCATACGTGTCAAGTGTGTTGGATTTTACCCCAAATTGTTACTCTCATCTATGAGCATTTATCTTATTACTTTGTAACTATTGTTTAATTAATTCTTAGCATGAACTCCTCAATTTATTTAAATTTTTAACACTGCCCTCTTACCTTCTAACCAATTGAACTTACAGTTACACCTAGTTATCTTCCTCTCATATTGATGGTAATAAAATGCAATAAATACATTTAATTACTTTGACCGTCAAATTAGAAGTTTTGCTTAAATTCATCCAACTTCTAACGGGGTTCTTTTGTTTTCTCCTAATCCAAAAGTAATCATAGTTTTCTATTGATTCCACACATTATTCAACTAACTCTACTCACCGGAATGGGGGCCAAAGTTGAATATTTCAGGTACCGAATAAGGCCATAACCCTCAAATCTAAAATCTTTTCAGCCACCGTGTCCACTCAAACAAGCTTCATCAATGCTTCAAATTTATAGCCACCTCTAACTGAACATAGGTCGCAGTCATACTTTCTTCCAATTTTAGATGATCCTCTCGAGTTTGTGCATGTCGGTTGTTGTTCCTCTCACTCTTCCCTGCAAGTTTTTGAAGGACCATACCACTCGTTAGTGTCTGATTTCTAGTCCTAAACTCTATTTGAGTAATTGAATATGTTTTTGATAATCCTGATAACAAATCATGTTTAGAACTTTTAAATATTGTGTTTTGTGATGCACGTTAAATTATAGATCTAAAAGCATGTTAATTTACCTCTTTCTTTTGATGATCAAGATACTGAAATTTAAAATCTATAAAAAGGTGGGCAAAATGGTGGAAAATCAGGCAATACTGGAGAATGGCAAATGGACCAAAATGCAAAGGAAGAAGCAGATGGCTGGAACTTTAGATGCTAAGGAAGACAAGGCAACTTGGTCAAAAGACAAAGAAGTCAACAAGGTATGAGCACTCATACGAGTTAAAAAGTAAGTCTTCCTTCTCAATTAAGCAAGACCAACCAAGAAGCAAAGGACAAGGAGGCCATAACTCTGGTATAAAAGGGGGAAGGATCAAAATCAGAAGAACACATGAGAGAGAGAGGGAGTGACCCATAAAATATAGACAGTAGAGAAAGCAGAA